GGGTGGGCAGGCAGACCCAGGCTCCTGAAGCTGTCAGGGGGCATGAAAGGAGGTGCCAAGGAGGAAGATCAAGGTACTATCAGAGTTAAGAGCTGGTGTCAGGGTTGTCCCTAAGTTCAAGGAAGTGAAAGCGCAGGAGAGAGCGTTGACGGTGTGTGTGCAGAGGGTGTGTGCCCTGTGAGCCCCAAAGGACGTGGCAGCTCCTGGTAGGGGCCGAGCTGGGGCAGCAGGCTCTCCTTTGCCTAGCTCGCCACGAGTCTTGAAGGAGTCTTGCGCCGGGAACAATGCACCAGGTAGACTCTCCCCTCACCCCCTCCTGCCAGGCTGGCGTGACTCCCTGCAGGGGCCCCTTGCTTTTCATCAGTCTGTGCTTCCTTTTTCCCCTGCACATCCGGAGCTGCTTCCCCACCCCCTGCCTGGGATCTCTGTGGCCTGGGCCCCAGAAAGCCTCAGACTTTCAAGGAGGGGTGGGGTGTTGGACTTTCCACATTCTTAAAGGGACAGGTGTTGGGGATGGCATGGGGTAGACAGTGTGACTGAGAGACTAAAGGGAGTGGGTTTGTCCTGCACAGCCTTTCCTGGGCCCCAAATCAAATGCCTCCGCATTGGAAGAGCCAGGCTGAGGGCTCAGAGTTAAGGGAGTGGATCCACCCCAAAGGGTCTGCTGCTGAAGGTCCAGCTGGGGACAATGAGGCTAAGCGAAAAAGTTTCTTGAGCCTGTGATGACTTTGCCAGCTCTGGGGTTTAGAGTTTGGAGGTTTGCTATCTTCACGGCAACCCCCAAAACCCACACCTAGCAGGGTGGAGACAGAGAGAGGTAGGGGTCATGACCTCCAGCTTTAGGCAGGACTCTGGGACCCTGAAAGAGGTAGAGGCGGGCATAGCATCTCCTCAGTCCACACTGGGCAGCCCCTCCCTTCCAGGCCCTGGAACCTGGTTCTGATATTATGGATGAGGTATCCTCCTTGCCAAATTTCAGAGGTCCTTGTCTCCTCTTCTTCTTTCCCTTCTTTGTGCATAATGTGATACTAAGATGCTGAACACAATGAATCCCTTTTCTCAGGACTTTAGGAAGCAGTTGTTCACTGCCCGTTGTCCAGGGTGTGGGACAGCAGTCCCATAGTGTCCTGACCCAGGACACCAGGTCTATTTAGGAATCAGGAGATCTGGGAGGAGAGGGCAGTGAGAGGGGACTTGCAGGACCAAACTCTATATGCCAGACTGTAATGAAGCCCCTCTTTGCCTCTTCCTGAAGAACTTTGTCTGTCTCTGTCTCTCTGTATTTGTCTTCACTGTTCTCTCTCTCTCTTTTTTTCAATCCTCCATTGTTTTTCATAGAGAATGGAAAGGAAAGAGAGAGAGAGAGAAACATCGATGTGAGAGAGACACATTGATTGGTTGCCTCCCGCATGCACCCCGACCGGGGCCGGGGATCCAGCCTGCAACTGAGGTACGTGCCCTTGGCCAGAATCGAACCCAGGACTCTTCAGTCTGCAGGCCAAAGCTCTAACCACTGAGCAACCGGCCAGGGCCACTGCTTTCTCTTGTTCTCTCTCTCTTTTGTTTTTCTCTTGTATCTTTCTTTCTCCCCATGTTCCCCTGTCTGTCTGTTTCGTTTATTCCCCCTGTTGGTATGTGTGTGTTTATCTCTGTGTTCCTGTCTCTCTAGTCTGTCTCTCTCTTCATGTCTTTACTGTCTCTTTCTTTGTCTCTGTTCCTCTCTCTCTCTCCCCCTGAGGTTGTCTGTGTCTCTCTTTTGGTTCCCTTTAGTTGCCAGTCTCTCTCTATTTTGGTCTTTTTCCGTGTGTACATGCCCATGTCACCTTCTCTCTCCGCCACTCCCCTCCTAGGCTGACTGCTATCCGTGGCTTTCTCCAGCTGCGAACGGCTCGGCGGGGCAGGAGACCCAGAGGCAGCTCCCACCTCGAGAGGACGGGCTGCCTGCGCTCACCGTCATCATCGCTATCTTTGTCCTGCTGGCAGTTTGCATTGTGGTAGCAGTCCACTGTGGGCCAAGCCTACACCATGGCAGCGCCACTCTCCTCACAGAGCCACCAGCCCCAAAGCCAGAGGGTGGCATCTACCTCATCCACTGGCGAGTGCTGGGCTCCCAGGACATTCATGAGGACACCAAGCAGGGCCCTCCTGTCTCTGGCTCCTGCCTTGTGCCAGATGGGCCTAGGCTCAGCATAGATGAAGTCACGTATCTGTAGGAGGGAAACTTTGGAAAGTAGGCCTGACCTGGCTCAGAATAAGAAACTGGACAGAGAATTACGGCAAAGGCAAATTGGGCCTGGGCATCAAGGCTTTGGACATACACACATGGACTAAGCTGGAGCTGCCCTCTTGGCAGAATACAGAGGAAGCCTTGGTGTGGACTGGGGAAATAAAAGAAGTTTGAGAGCCCTGCCCGGACACATGCTGCTATGAGCATCCCCAGTGCCCAAGGCTGCCCTTACAAAGCTACTTCCTCCTCTTCAGGGACCACCAGACCCCTGAACCTCCTTCTCTGAGTCCCTACTCCTCCTCTCACCCCTAATTTCCTCTCCTTTGGGTGTCAAAGTAAGTCCAGCTTGGAAGATTCTGCCACCCACCCTACCCTGTGCAGGGATGTCAGAGGCTCCCTGTAGAGACCCTGCTGCTCCAGACTCCAGGTCTTGTGAGGGCCAGCCAGGGAGTGCCAAGTCAAAGAATCCAGGGCTCTGCTTCCTCTGGGACCCAGGAAAGGAAGGAAAATGTGTTTCCCTTCACTGACGGGGGGACATCCCTTTGGCTGTCAGGGCCCAGGACTTGTTAACAACTTTCAAGGCCCTTTCAAAGCTCCAAGAACCAATTATAGCTCCCCAAATTGTATTTGAATGGCTTCTACTATCTTGGGGCAAGACTCTGTCTTGCCTTCCCATGTTGAGATGGGGAAATTTGGGAGCTCTCATTACCTCCTACTTTCTGTGTGCATGGGCTTATTGAAACTAGCCTGGAATTTACCCCAGGGAAGTTCCCAAATCCAGAACCTTCCAGCTGATGGGAAAACAGGAAAGGAAAGGGAACTTCATGGAGCTTGTGTAGGGGAAGAAAGGAGTGGGAAGAAGGCCTGTAGGGGGAGAGACATGGAGGTTGGGAAGATGCAGGAGGCCAGGAAGGCAGAGCTAAGCCTCCCAATGACTCCCTGGAAAGGTACCCTACCCCTTTCCCTGACACCTTTGAGCTTCATTTATGTGCAGTCAAGAACATGCAGATAGACATTTATGGAGGGACCTCTGGGTGCTTTACCTGGGGAACACCTGAGGACAACAAGTCAACCCTGGGGATTGCCCTTGGAGAGACCCCAGCACAGTCAGTGAGGCTGGAAAATAACAGAAGATGGAAGAACAGAGGTAGAGATTGTAATGTGTGCAGAGAGCTGGCTGGCCACCTTTGGGCTGATGAGAGGCAGTTATAATGTTAATAGCTGCTCCTCCTTGAAGGCCAGCTGCGTGCTGGGCACTGGTTTCCTCCATGGGCCTGCAGATATTATACTGTTTACTCCTCATAATAACCTTGAAAAGAGGAGCCACTGTTATTCCCATTTTACAGTTGGTGATATTAAGATACCCAGGTGGACACATGTACTATGTGGTGGAGCAAGATTTGAACCTGAGACTGTCAGACGCCACAGCCTGAGCGCTATGTTGGGGGCTGGATGGTTGGGGAAGTCATGTTAGGGGGGCCCTTGATTCTGGTCTAGTTTCTAGGTATAGGAGTGACTGGTGTGATGCTGGAGGATCCTCAGGCCTTGAGAACAGAATGACTGGGACAGCTGGGGAGAGGAAGGGACTGTTTCCCCTTCACTGTTTTGGCTCTGTCATCCTTAGGGGCAGTCAGTTCCTGGGGGCCAATGTGTGTCTATGTGTGGAGCCTTTCTCCACAGCATGCTGTACTCAGATGTGCATATTGAACATTTGCAACAAAAACAAAGGTGGAGGGAGGAAGGGAACAAGTTCTGGGTGGAATGAATGGAAATGGTAGAAATGGGCTGCCTCCCATCCCAGATGGTGGCAATTTTGCCACCACAGTATCATTGCAGTGCCTCAATTCTAACAGCAATAGCAAAAGTTATGGCAGGTGACTGGCTGTGTTGTTCAACTCCCCCAGAGGATGTCCCACCTCACACAAACCCTCTCCCTGCTTTATCCCTTTGCAGACTCTCTCATCAGGGGATGTTTATGCAGTGGCCCCTACTTCTTCAAGCAACCTCTTGCCCAGGACACAGCTCATGGTATCTGTGTGCTCCCTCAGTTAGCCCCTGGGCCCTCCCTGCCCCCTCAAGCCTTGCACTGGAGACAAGGGCACTGAAAGGGCAGGTGGAGTGGGGGTGCTGCCCAACTCTCTGCCCTCAGCCTGCCTGGTGGGCTCTGTCCACATTGAAATGATACCCACCGCCCCCCGCCCGGTACTAGGATGAGGAGGGTATAAGGAAGCATGTCTTTGCGAGCTGATTTGGACATTGCAGATAATAAATGCCAACAGCACGTATCAGTGAGTCCAGTTGGAGATAGATAGCACACTCAGATGTGTCGTCTAAGGGATGTTTAAAAGGAGGGCCATTCAGAAAGGGCAGGTATAAGGAAATCAAAAGCGAGAGTGAGTGCTAGAGGATGGGCAACAGCGGGGAGCCAACAGCGGGGCCAGGCCCCGAACACGGGGAAGGAGAGGAAGCAGCTCCTGGGACCTGGAGAGAGACAGGATTCCTGAACGGGTTTGGTCAAGAGACGCAGAGAGTTCGCAGTGACCTTGACACCGCAGGGAGGGTGCTGGGGAAATAAATACTATAACTTCATTCTCCTCCTTTCCTCCATTCTCTTGCTGGGGTTCCCATTAACTGAACAAAACTAGAAGCCAAGAGGCAAGGAAGCTTGTAGATGCCATCCCAGGGCAGAGGAGGCAGAGAGGGGTGGAGAGTAGGTCCGGAGGGTCCAATGAAAGACACTTGGTGCATTCCTTAAGTTTATCCAGCAATTAGAGTTTACAAGAAACTTCCATATAGTCATAGGCCTCACAACAGCCCTGTGAGGTAGGTAGGGCAATTATTATGATCCCATTTCACAGATAAGGACACTGAGGCTCAGGTAAAACAACTTTCACAAGGTCATAAGACTCATCTTGAGATGTCAAGTCCCTGTACCTTTTTTGAGAGGCCCCTGTGGGAGGAAATAGCTTGTTGGGCATCTAGCCCCTAAAGAAAACCTCCAATCCAGACATCTTGGGGATTGCTGGGGGCTCAGGCAAGGTAATCTTGGCCTCAGAAGGCATCCGTGCGAAGCGGGAGAGGCTGATCCATTTCACTGATGAGAAGCTCGGGCTCTTGGAACTCCGTGGAAGAGTCAGGTGCCACCGAGGTCCCCACACTACCCACAGTAACCTCTTCCCGTTCCTCCTGCTGTAGGTGCCTGAGAATCTCCTGTGACAGGGAGAAGCTTCTTCCTTCTGTAGGTTCTGGAATGGGGGTGGGGAAGGTGGTGGGGAGTGGAGTAAGATCCTCACACATTCCCATTCCAACACACCCAGAGGACTTGCTGGGCAGATCCTTCAATCCTCCCTTTTCTCCACCTCTCTACACCATGGAATCCTAGAGCTAAAAGCGGTTTTAGAGATAGTGGAATTCCACCCTCTTGCTTTTAGCAATGATGCTTACAGAAGGGCAGAGACCTGCCAAGATCATATAGCAAAGGAGTGGCAGGGCTGAGGCTGCAGCCCATGCCATTCTCCTAGTTCCTGGCCTGGGCTCTTGCTTCCCCTGGCATCCCTAGATGAAACGAGGAGGCCCTAGAGCCCATCTCTTCGTGCTCCACCCAAGATGCATAGCCAAAGACCTCAGAGTAGCCGCGTGCCCCAATGTGAGGAGGCGGACCTCTTTCATGGGAGGAAGGGGCAGGGCTTGAATGCCCTGACCACTTGGGAAGGCCCAGGACAAGATGCTGTCATATCTCCTTCTGACCCCCTGGGAGACCCCTGGAACCTCTGTCTCCTCTACCCTCCAGACTATTAACTCCTTACCCTCATAGGCAATGATGCGACAGTTGTTCTGACACTCGGGGGCATCTGCCAGGATGTCCTCAAGCGTCCGGCAGAAGAGTTTGGCCTGTTCAAGCCGATCCTCCCGACTAAAGGCAGCTCGGCTATCCTGTGACATGGCAAACAGGGTCTGCAAGGGGGTGGCGTACTCCAGAACACAGGTGCCCGCCTGGAGGAGGTGAGAGGAAAACCAGACTAAACCAGGGCAGACAGACTCTGGACCCCAGTACCACTGCAAGGACCCCATTCCCTCAGTCTGTAGAGATGGAGTCCTGGGAGGTGCTACCCTGATGGGTTATGCTGTCTGGTTGGCCTTTGCCTCTGACACTCCACTCCTAAAATCAGGGCCAGGGCTGAGCTAAATTTACCCTTCACAGATCCTCCTCCTAAGATCCCAGGGCAAGGCCCACTGAACTAGGCTGTCAACTGCTCCAACTTAAAATCAAGTCTGGGGGCTAGGCTCTGGGTTTCAGCTCTGGTCTAGATCTCCCTACCCACCCACCCATGTGAAATCCATCACAGCCTTCACCTAGGACAGCTTTATAGTCAAAAGCATGGCATACTCAGGTTGAAATTGTTCACCTTCTCCCTGGTTCTCTGACTCTCAGTTTCGTCAACTGTAGAGTAGAGGTTGTAGCAGTCCCTGCCCCACAGGGTGGTGGTGAAGCTTCAATGAGGTGGGTAGATGAAGCATCTAGAATAGCACCTGGCATGCATAAGTGCTCAGTAAATGCTACTTATTATCCTCATTCAGCGTTGAAGCTTGCCCAGCCCTGGGACTCATTGGGGAAACTGAGGCTCAGAGAAGGGCAGCACATTTTTATCAGTGGTTGGCCAGAGCCCAGAGTTCTGGAGCTCTGGGTCTGACCCTCTCCAGCAGGACCCACCTTCCTGGACACTCACCGGCCTCCCGTTCTCCAGAAGCTCATAAACGCTGTTAGTGTAAACCCGGCCCTTGATCCCAGCACGGTCAATGCTCTGCTGGGGCAGCTCATGCAGGAAGCGAATGTTGGGGTCGACCGTGTTCAGGTTGTCAGGCACCCCGCAGTCCAGCGGGAAGAGAATGTACAGCCGATGGCTTCCTGCGCCTCGGAGCATGTTGTTGTGGAGCTGGTTGTAACTACGGATCCGAGCAGGGAGCCCTGCGGCGGAGAGGGCCGAGTCATTGCCACTAGCCCTGTCTCCCCTCAGTGTGTAGGTGCAAGGGAACCGAGGGTCCAGTCCTCTTGTACTGTCTAGGCCAGGAGGGGCAGCGCACCCAAGAACCCTCCCCACTCCTTCACCTACTCCCACCACCGCTTTCTCCCCTCACTTGTCCTTTGTCCAGATTTCTGTCAGCCCCACTCCTCCCCATCACAGCTTCCAGGGCTCTGAGAGGCGGGCAGAGCCCTGGAAGGTGATACTGCAGCATCCCCAGGTACACTGAGTCAGGCCTCTAGCAAGAACCATTTCCCAGCAGAGGCCCTGGTGTCAAGGGAAGGCGGCAATGAGATATAGGGGAACTCCAGCCTTGGCTGGCAAGTCAGAAGCATGAGGCACAACACGTAGATTCGCAGTCGAGTGGTCAAGGGTCCCAGCTCTGGACAGACCTGGGTTCAAGTCCTGTCTCTTCTCACTAAGCTATGTGACTTTGGACAAGTCACTTCATCTCTCAGAACCACAATTTTCTTATCTTTCTCTCTCTCTTTTTTTTAATCTTCACCTGAGGATATTTTTTTCATTGATTTTTCAGAGAGAGTGGAAGGGAGAGAAGGAGAGAGAAATATCGATGTGAGAGAGACACATCGATTGGTTGCTTCCCACACATGCCTCGACTGGGACCAGGGATCGAGCCTGCAACCGAAGTATGTGCCTTTGGCTGGAATCGAACCCGGGACACTTCAGTCTGAGGGCCGACACTCTAACCACTGAGCAAGCTGGCTAGGGCAATTTTCTTATGTCTTAAGCAGGAATGACGATTGTTTCTTCCTCATAGAGTGTGAATTAAAAGAGAAAATGCACATGAAGGGCACATAGCATGCTGTAAATAGTTATTGAAAGAATTCAGAGGTGACCGTGAACAAGTCACTTGATATTTCTTCTTGTAAACCAGGTCTAATAACAACATTCTTCATGCCTACAGGATTGTTTTGGGAATCAAATGATTTGTTAGACATGAAAATACTTTGAAAAATACACTGAGTTCTGGAAACTATGTGTCTTATTTTCTTTGTGTCTTGTAGATTAGAAATGGGGACACAGAGGATGCCCACCTGGCAGGATCAGCCGCAGATACCCGATATAATATGACCATGCCAGCCCGTGGGCCACGTTGAAGTTCCTTTGTTCACAGACTGTAGAGACCTCAGCTGGGGCCAGGCCCTGTAGACAGAAGGGTGGGGCTGGGAGCCTCCATGAAGAACAGCTAGAACCCTTTTCCTCCTCCAAGATTTCCCAGCCTGCTGCTGATTTTCTCCCTTTTCTGCCATTGCTGACCCCGCTGTTCCAGGACGTTGTAAGTTCCACTCCAAGAACCAACCTCTAAACTAGTACCACTCCCAGTACTGAGCTCAGAGCAGGTCACGCTAGCCACAGCTTCCACTTGACCATGCCCTCCACTTCCCTCTGTGTCATACCTTGAGGTCCAGGAGGATGCTCAGTGCCTCTGAGAGGCCCAGGAAGGAAAGCATCCAAGGGAAGGGCAGGTCATTTTTGTTTGGGGTGTAGAAATAGAAGGACAACAGCAGCAGCGTCCCACAGCGGACCGGACAGCCCAGGCAGGCCCGCACAGCCCTCCAGTGGCTTCCCTGGTACCTGCAGGTGAGAGCCAAGCCCCAGACCTCAGCTTAGCTAGAGAGATTCAAGGAGGGGCAGGGCTGGGGGTCAAGGGAGTGAGAAGGGTTGTGTGCCCAGTCACCATGGGTACCGCAGGGAGTCACCTGGAATGGATGTGGTTTAGCTCCTCCGCCAGACTGCAGATTCCCTTGATCAGCAGTCCCAGCTGCAGGGAGGCCAGGTGGAGCACCAGCCACTGGACAATGTGGTCTGGACGCTCCCCCAACCCCCAAAGGGCTGCCAGGCAGGCACTCAGCAGGACAAAGGCTGCCTTCTTGGCCCTGTGACTCCTGGGCTGAGGGATGGATGGGTGCAAGCTGGAGTGGGGCATCTGTGGGTACCAAGAAATCCATAGCTATGCTCCTCTCATTCTCCTGTCATTCCAGGACTGAGGCCCTGACTGGGTACTCCCCCCTGCTATCCCTTCCCCCATGCCCAGTCATACCCAGGGGCTGCTATTCGATACACCTCTGGGGTACAGGCTGGGCATACAGCATCCCAGAGCTCAAGTCCAGGAGAGATTTGTTGAAAACAAAACAGGTGAAGAAGTGCATGGGTCCACACAAATACATCTCACCCAGAGAGACTGCAGGGCAGTGAAGAAAGAAATCAGCACCTTACCTAGACCCAGACCTATGAGGTGCCACCCTCCTAAGGACCCTTGGGGACCTGAGCTTCCCTCTCCCCCAAATCCACGCCAGGAAGGATATTAGTCAGAAAATTGAAAACCACAGTTCAGAAAGTAGGGGCACAGCAGCCAAAAAGGGTCTCCAGGGGCCTCAGCCTTGGAGCTTTGGCTGGGCTTTTCCTGATCTTACCTTCTACCTCCAGACAGAAGGTTGTTTCTGGGAGACAACGGGAGAGAAGGCACAGCGCAATGGCTCCCAGCGACTAAGGGAAGCCTCTCCGGGTGCAGCCTGAAAATGAAAAGTTAAAACAATTTGGAGCTTTCTCTACAACACTCCAGCCCTGGTATCTCAGCAGACTACAGCTCAGAGTGCAATGGGAAGGAGGGTATTTCTCAGCCCCCAGGGAGGTAAGAAGAGCCCTCCCGGAGCAGCACTAGTGAGCCACGCCCAGTCTGGGAGTGTGGTTGGGGAAGCCTATGAAGGCCCCCATTCCTGCAGTTTGCTACCCCAAAGTCAAGGGTGTTCAGAAATTCCCTCACACTCCCATGAACCACAAGCTGAACACCAGCTTTCCCTTAAGCCCCCACAATTAAACACACTCTACCAATACCCACCTGGGACTCCACACAGCCACACAGCCAGCCTAAGGCAGCACACACTGCACCATGCTCCCTGCCTGGTTGTTTTTATTCTGATTCCCTGATGAGATCCTCTTTTTCTGAAGACTGTGATATGTGGGTGGAGGGAGAGAGGGAGGCGGGGAAAATAAAGCCATTTCCTGTAACAACAGCCTTTAAAGTAAAAAGCTTGGTAGGAGCAGAAAGCCAGCAAGAGAACATGGGGTTTGGGCTCTTCACAGGAAGTGGCCACGCCTATGACTGCTCAGAGAGTACCTGGTGTGGTCCAGCCAAAAAACTCAGTCACATGAATAATAATAATATATTTTGCCAAGTGTTACATATATTATTTCACTTAATCCACTCAGTTACCCTGCCAGGTATAATACTATCCCCATTTTACAAATGGGTAATCTGAGGCTTGGTGAAGTGAATTAACTTTCCCCAGGTCCCACAGACAGTAAGTGAGGGAAGGGGGATCAGAAGCCAGGTGGGTTGCTCCAAAGGGCAGCTTGTTCTGTGCCGTGATTTCCTGGGAAAGGGTGGAAAGTGCCAGGATCCAGTTTCATGCTTATAGATTCTCCTGGAGTAGAGAGTGTCTCTGGCCACTTCCTGGCAACCTTGAGGCTGGGCAGGCCCAGAGAGTGGAATTGGGCTGCCACCTACAGAGCAGCAGCAGTTCATTCCTGCCCAGGTCAGAGGGTCCTTGCCTGGACCCTCCCCCACATCACAACCAGACTCAAGAAGACACAACACATTCATAGATGCCAGTGGCCTCCCAGGAGAAATGAGGCTTCCTGAAAACTCTCCTGGTTTTAAAAATCATTTCCTAAGAATGGAAGTGATTCCCTACATTTTTCTCTCCTCTAAAATTGGCTCTCAACAGGTCCCACTGAGGTGGACAAGGTCTCAGCTGTTTCAAAACCAAAGAAAGTCAAGGTTGCCCAAGAAAAGGCCTGAGCAGAGTCCTGCAGGAGTGCGCCCCAAAGTCTAGCTGTGTCAAGCAGCCTCAGGCCTCCAGAATCCTGTCCCCACCGCCTAGCACCAACTCTCCTGGTGGCACCGCTGCTGCGAGGTCTGCTGCTCCACACTGGTTGTCTTTCTCACTATCTGAATGGCTCTTCCTGTCCCCCAAACACCCCTCTTGTCCCCATGATGCTGCATTTCCCAATGAGCAAACTAAGCTCAGGGTACCAGCAAAACTCTTCCAGTTTTTCTTTAAAAACATTGATATTTGAACAGCTTTGAAGTTGCTCACCCTTTTCCTGACCACAGGGAGACCTCCCCAGGGAATCTTCACAGGTCCCATTCTGGCTGGCAGCCTTGCCTCCTGCTCCGTGTCAGTCCAGATCTCTCCTATTTGGCCTCGTGCATACTTTATTGTTACTGCTGGTTTGGTTGTTGGCTTCTTGGATAGACTGAAAGCCACGAGAGGACAGGCATCATCAGCTTGCTTGCTCTCTGCTGTAGACCCAAGGCCTGACACACAGTAGATGCTCTGTAAATAGTCATGAGTGATGAACAAACAAACTCAGGGGAAACGGGCAATCTCTTCATGTGTCTAAAGGGCTCTATGGGGTAGAAGAGTCTTCCTTTCTGTGACCACAGAAGGCAGAACTAGGACAAGTCAAAGTAAGTGCCAGAGTTTGGTTTCTAAGACAGAAAGCATCTTATAATAATATAGGCTGCCTGTGAGGAGGTGAGCTGTAGACACCAAAGAGGTTTACAAGAAGCCTGGTGGGCTCTCTGAGAGGGACAGGCTGCAAAGAGAATTCCAGAGTGGACAAAGGTTGTGAGTTCCAAGGTCCCAGGCAAGCTGAGCTTTTCAGGAAGTTATGAGGGTGTCTTTTTGGTAGGGGAGGGGCAAAGAAGTGGGTGTTTTGTTTTTTTGAGTTTGAGGAACTTGTTTCAGGCTAGCTGAGCAGAGCTGGTCAGGTTCATCCATCCACACTTCCCCATCTCAGCTCATCTTTTCTCAGGCCTTGGAGAGGCCTTGTGACTGGCACTAGTGACACCTGGTGGCCAGTTGGACTTGGACAGATGCAACTTCACCACCTATATGTCCACCTAGTTCATGGCTGTATCCTTGGGCCTTGTACAAAGCTAGGTACATTCAATTAGTGAATGAGTAAGTGAGTGAGTGAATGAACGAATGGATAAATAGAGACTGTAAAGAAGAGGAGGATGAAGAGATGCTATTTCTTTGGGCCTGAGGTGTAACCAGGGGGACCAATTGGAATTGCAGGAGGGGGGCAGACAACTCATCTACTCAGAGATACACAGACAGAAGGGCCTCTGCTCTCTCTCCTGCCTCTGTGCCCATCCTGTGTCCTAGGGGCACCTGTGAGGTGAGGAAGGGGAATACTTAGGGGAAAGGCTTAAGTTAATTAAAAACTGCTTCTGCATCTGAGACTAATTGTGCTCTGGAGCTATGAATAAAGAACCATGGCTTAGTTGGAAGTGCCTTAGTAAGGCTCCTTTCTGTGAGAGGACACTGAGGCCCAGAGAGGGCAGGAACCCACCTAAGGTCCCACAGTCAGACTGTAGCAGGACCAGGATTCCAGTTTCAGTTCCTTAGGCCAAATCAAAGCATTTGACAACCTAAGATAGAAACACAGAGGACAAGAGCAGTTGATGTGGAGCCTAGAGGAGCAAGTACAAGCACCTTAGCCTGGCAAATAGGGCTTACCCATCACTGATGATACCTCTAGCACACGCCTTTCCTTCCAATGAAAGAGCTACAGCACCATCTGCCCCAAACTGAACATGCATCACCCCCCAGCTCACCCAGGGCCGTCCTCTCAATCACTGCTTTATACCCACCCCTTCAACTATATGGATGGGCTTAACCTCCCTGAGCCTGTTTCCTAATATGCAAAGGGATTGTTTGAGCTGTGAGAGAGGCATGTCAAATGCTTAGGACAGTGTTTGGCACCTGGTAGGCATTCAGTAAGAATCATGGCTGTTATTATTGTTGTTTTAAATATATATATATATATGTTTTAGAGCGAGGAAGGGAGAGGGAGACAGAGATAGAAACATCAACGATGAGTCACTGATCGGCTGCCTCTTGCGTGCCCCACCCTCCTGACTGGGGATGGAGCCAGAAACCTGGGCATGTACCCTGACGAGAAATTGAACTATGACCTCTTGGTTCATAGGTCGATGCTAAACCGCTGAGCCACACCTGGCTGGGCTATTATTATTGTTGCTATGGTAATTAACCCCCAACCAGATGGAGACATCCTTGAGGGCAGAGGGCAGAATTCCTTGACTCTGTACCTGAGAGAAGACTCAGGACATGACAGTGGTCCCTATTGGCTCTAGAGGGCACCTGCTGGCTGGTGCCCCTTAGTGCCTTCTCATGGGCTGGGCTGCTGCCTGAGCCTGGCTTTCTGGCTTTCATTCCTTGAGGATGAACTGAGTTTGGGATTTCTTTGATGGGTCAAAAAAAGAGTGACAAGGTGCTACTGAAGTACAAAGATGCTGTCCCCAGATACCCTGGATGGCACAGGGAGAACTCAAAACCCCCATCAGAGGAGTAGAGATAGGTCCATGAGGCCAGAGAAGAAAGCTGATATATAGACACAGGTTCTTCTGGGCATCCTTGGGAAGTCCTGTACCCCTAAGCCAGATCCCTGTGGGTGGTAGCTTGAGGGGAACTGGAAGGATCCACTACCCCCCAGTCACTCCCTTTCCCCCATCTTCAAGGCTGGCTTATTCTGAGTTGTTCTTCTCTCTCATGCCACCATGCCAGGTCCTAAAGTTGCCTTGAACTCGGAGTATACCCAGATTTCATTCATTCAGTGTTCAACGAGTATTTATTACACCCCTTCTCTGTGCCAGTCACCTTGCCATTGGAGCTTACATTCTGGTTGGGGGGACAAAGAAACAGACAGGTAAAGGTCCACTTAAGAAGGGCTGTTTTAGAAGTAAACCCAGCGCTCAGGGAGAGCAGGAGAGAGGTGACCTTTCAACTCAGTCTGAAGGAAGTGGAGGAGGTCTAGTCTCTAGGCAAGGGGAACCTGTGTAGAGGCCGGGAGGGAAGAGGGCCCTGGTATTTTTGAGGAGCTGAGTCCACAGCTCGAGAGAGACCAGAGAGGCCCAGACCTCACGCAGCTGGGTGCATACCCTTTCTCTGCCCTTTTTTGGTGACTCACTCCATCGGCTGCCATTCCCAGCATGTCTTCTGGCGGTGACTTCCTGGGGCTCAGGTGCCAAGGCCTCGGCCTCTGCTAGAAGGCATTGCCCCTGCAGTCCACTTCGGCCTCGTCTGCCCACCAGCTCCTACAACAGAGCCGCTTGGGCCGCAGGTTCCGACATGTCCTGGCCCAGCGGTCAGCGCCTCGGAGCTGGGGCCACTGGCTGGTTGGCTCTGGCCCCATCTCCGCGCTTTTGCCCAGAGAGCCTGTGTTGGTGCACACGTCTCCGGGTGTGCAAGCAGAAGCCTGGGCGCCATCCCTGCGAGTGCTCTCATCCTCACACCCACATCCAGGAGGGCACAGAGTCTGGTTGTCCTCTCTGTCTCGGAATCGTCTCCAGAATGGGTGCCTGACCCCTGCCCTCTCTCAGACATGCTGGCATGATGGGGAAAAGAAGACTCCAGGCTCAACCCCTCTCTGTGACGCTGAGGAAACAATCCTCCATGCTCGTTTCATTTAAAACTGGATGGAAATAATACTGTCTCCTATGATCGCTGAGAGGGCTAAATGGAATAATCTTTTTTATTATGAAGCCAGTGGTCACTAAAATCAGCTATTTTCACACTTCTCTCTGTGGTGCTGGAATATTCTCCCTGGCCCAAACTCTTCAATGGCTTCCGACTGCCCTCAGGATCCGGTCCAAACCTTTAGCATGGCCTATGAGGCTCTTTCAGTCTCATTTCCTGTTACTTCCCATTTCTTCCTCCCCAACACCCTTTGTTGGCTTTGTCATAGACTCCTCTGTGCCTTGGCCTGGACACCCTTTTCCCATTTTCTCTGCTTGCCCAAAACTCTCCTCACCATCCGAGACTCATCTCAAAAGCCTCCTGTCAAATACCCCTGAGTTTTAAAGATACCCAAAACCGGCATTGTCAGAAAAAAT